AATTCAAAAAAAAGAAAAAAAAAAAAATTCTAAAGAAGATGGAAAAATTAGTAGTTTTTAGTACCCTCATAGCAATGAAGAGAGACAAATGCCAAACAAACAAAAAGTGGAAGATAGCTGAACATTTGTTTTCATAAACAATAGTAAATACGTTGTTAAATATTTCACGTAAAATCCTACTGAAACGCCCCAAAATATTCCACTTAATCGACCATAATGATATTTCATTTCATGATACCTACTCGATAATCTACTTTTTTCTCGCCTTCAAATTTGTTGATTATTTTTAATCCCGTTTTCTAAATTTATTTAAAGCACTACTTGACTGTTTTTGCACTGTAAGAAAAGTCTGCATTGACTTTTATGTTCCATGTGAGCTCACTGTTAAGCTTTGCATTTTTTCTACGCTTATTGGTAATTGCAGGTATTTAATGAAAGCGTAGTGTAATGCCTAATTTAAATTTTTGTAACCCTAGATCATTCAATTTCAGCCTTATTCTTCGTCCATCTCACATTCTCCTACTATCATTTCTGCTTCTTGCACCACTATGCAGTCAATCTCATAGGGTATTTGAACAACCGAGGAGACACAGTCTACAGTGTGTTTAATTTTCCTACTCCATTTATAAAGAACCACAGAAGTCCGGTATAGGGGTCTTATAGAATTGTATCCTTCAATATGAGGAGTAGAAAACACCTTTTAAGACTAGCTGTTGTTTCACTTAAAACTATTCTTGATTTCGACCAGTCACTGGATCGGAAAAAAATTTGGTTGGTGAGAAAATAAGTCCAAGTTTGGAAGTTAAATAAGAACAATTTTCCATGCACACTCCGCAAAACCAATCTTTTTATGAATCTGCTAAAAAATACGCGTTTTTGATAAATAAGTGATATTTTTTGAGACATTCAGAGGATAGGTGGCTGTAAAAACAGGGGTCCGGAAAACTATGATAAGTCTACTGGTTTCGCGACGGAACAGAAAGCTGCTTTTTAGCGACATTGACTGACGTGAAGGTGCCCCTAAAAGCATTGTAAAACTTGTTTTTCCTTGGAAGAAAAATTACTTTTTAACTTGACTACGAAAGCGCTGAGATTCAGTTTTTGTACTACTTTTGAATGAAGTAATCTTGCTGAAAACTTGGCTATTTCACTAAATGATTTTTAGGATTTCGCATCCCTACTTGTACTTCTACAACAATTTAGTAACAGAAATTAATGTATCGTCTTCTAAAGAAACGTCACTGAGTGTTTTTTTTCCACAAACCGCTACCGCCAACTCGAGAATGGCTTTGTCAGTTAAATTGATTGTCGATGATGTACCGAGCTCAAATTTAGGTTTGAAAATCAGGTTAAATGTGTTCCCGTTTTACGGAAAAACCACTTCGCTCATCTTTCTTGCGTGGGTAGTTACTGACGTGGAACTTGCAAAATCAGTACTAGCTCAGAAGGAAGATCAGTGAACTTAAGTCAGAAAGTGGTTTAAGGTCACCCTTGGCATATACCTACTCATATACATAAATGTTATTGTGACGATTGGATATTTTGTTGGGGAGAATAAGGCGACTGATTCAGAGCATCAAATTTGATTATTCAGACTGTTTTTCAAAGTCACTTGTATTGCAACTATTTTTTGTTTCAAAGTCTTGCTACCTTGGATAAGAAAGTCAGTCTTAGTCTTGCTGTCCTACTTTAGACTAAATATGGGAGTTCTTAAGCCAACAGCTACTCAGACCTGCAAGCAAATTTACGAAATAAAAAAACATCTTATTGAATGTAGAGTTTAGAGCATTCCGTGGAAATGGAAAACAACTACGGATGAGCTGATGGAATGGGGGGAGAAGGACTATGACGCGATACTTTCTTGTGAACGAGATAGACCGTTCCCACTGCCTAATGCATACGGTTCTCCAAGATTGCCGAAAAAAAAAAAACAAGGTTTATCAGAATAAATTCAGTTTACTCCCATATTTTAGCTAAAATTTCGGCTGAAACTGAAAATTAAATCATGAATTTGCAAACACAGGCAGAGAAGAGCTTAAAAACAATACGCAAAAGCTGCAACATCATTCACACAAATCAGCTAAAACTTCTGCATATTTTTACGGAGATAACACGGATTATCTCCGGACGTCTCCGTGATGCACAGTGGCATTGTGCCAAAGCTGCTGAAATTTAGCCATAATAAATGAAATTTTGCCACCGAAAAAAATTTTTTTTCCATATCTTCCAGTTCGCTTACCCTGTTTTTCATTTCACTTCAA